TTTTTCAGATTTTGATTGGTGTTGGTTTGCTCGGTTTTGATTGTAGTGATGTCGGAAGCGTTTTTGCTATTTTTGTTTACTAGTTCAGAAAACTTTTCGTCGAGAGTTTTTTTCCAAGTTTCTTCTAATTTTCGGAGTCTCCTTTCTATATAATCGTCTTGTAGTTGCTTGTGCGAGACCTCATTATTTTTAAAACAATTTTCATCAATTCTGACAACTTTTTTGTAGGTACTTCTTTTTGTTTTTTCAATCAAAAAATCGCATCGCAAACACTTTATTCATCATTCATTCACGTTCCTTTCCAACAACTGCCTAATTCCGTTCTCAACTATTCATTCTCTTTCTGGAACACTTGACACTTTTATTCACTTAACTCTCCGCTCGTCTCAACATTTTTTGCAGTATCAAGTGGCTTTCTTTATGTCCTTTCTTGCCTCACCTCTTAAAGGAAACATGGTAATATAAATTTAAACTAAATAATTATTTTTAATAATTATATTATATAATTTAACTATTTTCCGGCCAAAAAACATATATTATCAATAAAATTAATTATTTCCTAGAAGAAGCTTGGATTTTGGTTTGTTGTTCTCCCATTTGCAAATTAGCCAATTGAGTTTGTAATTTTTCTACTTGTTTTTTTAAGTTTTCATTTTGTTCGATTAATTCTTTCACTTGCCTTTCATTTCATTCTTTGGATTTTTGACGAAATTTATCCATTTCTTCTCTCTCCATAGCTAACTCTGCTTTTAATTCTTGAATTTTGCTTTCTCTATTTTTTAATTTGTCTTCTAGCGAGTGAACTTTTCAAATCTCGAATTCTGCTTGTCATTGTCGCAGTTTTTTAAAGTGACCTGGTTCAGATGGTCCGATGGGACTACAACCTTTATCTCTTAAATAAGCAGCAATTTCCGCACCACCTAATCCAAAACCAGTATCCATTCAAGGCTTGGCTTCTTGGAGTGTGAAATTGTAATCTATTCATTCTTTAATTCAAAAACAGTTATATAGTTTAAATCAAGTACCGCTGTATCCTATTTGTTCTGCTTGAAGCCATTCTTGTATTGCCGGACTTTGGATTAACTCTTGGGCCGTTTTAGGAGTGAATCCCCTCCTTTCTCAATGTCGTTGTCAAGATCTGTCTAAGTCCTTGTCAATATCTTTTAAGTCGGTCATGGTAGTTTATATTATACATTTTTTTTCTTCTAGAAAAAGGGACAGATAATATGGTAGATTATTATTTGGGTGGTTTTTCTTCTTTGTATTTTCTCTCTCGTGGCTCCGGTCAAAAGTGAGCTATTGCTAAGAGAAGAAGCATGGCAAAGAGCATAAGAGTTACT